AATTTATAATTATATTATATTATATTTTTTTATTTTTTTATATATTATATTATATTACATATTATAACTACTATATAATATGTTGGCAATTATGGAAAAAAAAAAAGGAAGAAGAAAAGAGTTTGGAATGACTATTCTCTCATCTGAGGAAGGAATGATGATTCACTCATGACCATTTCTTCTGAATGATCATTCTTTTTTCATAAATCTAACTAAATATCACACTTGGATTCCATTCTATTTTATTCATTTTCTTTCCACCCAACTAAACGCACCCAAGTACCAACACCTAGATGAGTACAAACCTCACCTACAACATGAATAGTTTTATAATGATACTTGAGAAACTTACTTGCTTGATTGTATTGCATTTCTTCTCACTAATATGATTGGTGATGATGTTTATTATGAAATTGCCTCTTTTTAAGTACATGATATTAATTACCTTGTGATATGATCATAATCACATGTTCACTTCAAATAAGAAGCTATGGTAAAGGAAAGATAGTTTAAGTGTCGTGCTGCCCTCCGACCTTAGAGGATGGGAGGTTAAAATTCTTTTGACCCTTAGTGACGGGAGATTAACTAGCTTAAATAGGTAGACTGTATTCCTTCGGATGAAATGTTTGGGTAGCTCCCACGACGCCTCATTGGTCGCGAGTATTGATACGTGCACAGGGCCTAATAATGATAAATGGACAGTCCATAATAAAGCAGAAACAGACATGCATTCTTACTTGACGATGCTTGTTGTGGAAAAAAATGTTTTGTGATGAATATTTGTATTCACTGAGTTTTGGCTCACAAGTTTGTTCATGTTGTAGATAAAAAAACCTACAACTTATTGATGGACTTTGCAACGAAGGACGCATACAGTGGAGGGATCAGGTAATGGATACCACCATGAAGTTAAATTTCGTAGAAAGTTAAGAAGGTTTAAAGTTATAGATAGAGTGAATAATTTAAAGAAGTTGTAATTATTAATTCAAATTTGTAATTCGAATTTTCTTTGGATTAATTTTGCGAAAGTTAAAGGTAATTTGAGAAATGATGAAAAATATTATAATTATATGAAATAAGCAAGAGGATTTTATAAAACCGATTAAGTAGGTTCTAAAGTCGATAGTATCTATGGTATCACATTTTGATACTTTACATGGAAGATTATTTTTAAATTGTTTAAAAAAATTATGTAACCTTTGTAAATGATAAATGGCAAAAAAAATTTAAACTGTGTTTGAAAATAAGTTTTCAAAAAAAAAAAAAAAAGTTACCCAAAATTTTAGTAATTAAATATTTACTTTTAAGATGTTTTAAAAAGTCATTATCGTTTTTCACATTTAAGTCACTTTTAGTGACGGTTCAAAAAGTTAAATCGTTACAAATTTTAATAAACAACTATTGGTTTTCAAAGGTAATTATTGTCCTCAACAAAATCTTAGATATGATTTTTATTTCTCTCAACAGACGCTCATATATGCGTCATGTGATAAAAATTATAAAAAAAGATAGTTATTTTTAATTAGACCTTAATTGTAAGAATTTTTAAGTTGAAGGAGTCTATTGCTAAGAAAAAAATGTAGAACAAATTGCCAAATTTTAAAAGTTCAGGGGTATCCACACAAAAAAAGAGGCCAATATTTGCAGCAAAATGAAGTTGTTTCTGTTCTCTTCCAGGGCTTTCTGTTCTGTGTATTCAACAAACGAGACGCTTGGGATTTACTAAGGCCATTTTCTAGGGTTAGGGTTAGGGTTAGGGTTAGGGTTTTGAACCAGAAGAAGAAGAAGAAATGCAGTCATACGGAGTTCAGTCGATGCTGAAGGAGGGTCACAAGCATTTCTCTGGTCTCGACGAAGCAGTGTCCAAGAACATCGACGCTTGCAAGCAGCTTTCATCCATTACTCGCACTTCTCTTGGTCCCAATGGTACTTTTCTTGATTCTTCTTTCTATTAGCAAACTGCCAGATCCAGACCAAAATCTTTCGTTTCTAGGTTTTTCCTTTTCTTCTGGTATATATAGATTTAGGAATTTTTTCGTCTCTTTGATTTTTCCAGGGTTCTTGCTTTCATTTTGCTTTTCACATTCCCCCGAATTCATTTTATCATAGATTTTATTTTGTTTTGTTTTGGATTTCATTATCATTCAACTGTTTTGTTGTTACATTATTTTAGTATTTGTGTTGATCTCGAATGCTAGAAAAACTTTGAGAACTTAGAAAAATGTTCCTTTTAAGCGTTATGTTTTCTATAAATTTTCACTATCATTTTTGTTCAAAAATGCTGTCCTACACTTGGAGATGTGTTACACAAACAATACATTATCATTTTGAGCCCAGGTATGAACAAGATGGTGATTAATCATTTGGACAAGCTATTTGTCACGAATGATGCGGCGACTATTGTGAACGAGCTTGAGGTTCAGCATCCCGCTGCGAAGATTTTGGTTTTGGCAGGGAAGGCTCAGCAGGAGGAGATTGGGGATGGTGCTAATTTAACCATTTCCTTTGCCGGGGAGCTCCTTCAAAATGCGGAGGAGCTTATCCGGATGGGCCTGCACCCGAGTGAGATAATTAGCGGATACACCAAGGCCATTAATAAGGTTCTGATATTGATTGCTTACTCGTTTTTTTAAACGCTGCAAAATGAAAATACTGATGCATTTTTTTCTTGTGTGGCCAAATTTTAGACTGTCGAGATCTTAGATGAATTGGTGGAGAAAGGCTCTGAAAACATGGATGTTCGCGACAAGGAGCAAGTGATTTCTCGAATGAAAGCTGCTGTTGCCAGCAAGCAATTCGGACAAGAAGATATTTTATCCTCACTTGTTGCTGATGTAATGAGATCTTACTTTCTCTACTGTTGTCTGATTATTGTCAATTTTTTTGGTGACTTTTTTGTTGGAGTGTTCTTAATGATTATTTTCTATTGGGCACCATAGGCATGCATTCAAGTCTGCCCCAAGAATCCAGCAAACTTTAATGTGGACAATGTACGTGTGGCGAAGCTCTTGGGAGGGGGTTTGCACAATAGTACAGTAGTACGGGGTATGGTTTTGAAGGGTGACTCTGTAGGAAGTATAAAGCGAGTGGAAAAGGCCAAGGTTAGTACTTAAAACTGTTTTTTTCATTGTTATTTGTTGCTACACCATTTAGAAGTAGGTTCAAACTTGTATCTTCTCTTATACGTACTTCAGGTTGTTGTATTCGCTGGTGGTGTGGATACCTCTGCCCCTGACACAAAGGCAACGGTCTTAATTCACAGTGCTGAACAGGTGACTTTCTGAAATTGGACATGTTTTTTTTTTTTAATTTTATTTTTCTTGTATATTTATAATAATGTTTTTCGCGCCTTTTGGGTTATGCTCTCAGAAGGGAAGCAGTTACTAATCAATGCCTTTAGTGGTTGTCTCTTTTATCTGCGTTGCACACAAATGCCTGCAGGTCACTGCATTTTTTACAAGGGGAATGAATGTACCATCTAATTGTTTATTATTATTTTTTCGTTATTATGGGCAGATGTCTGAGCCTTTAATGAGATTTCCATTGTTGTACAGGGATTGTACATTGTAATGTTGTATTTGAATTACTTATTGATATCTATTTTATAATCTATTTGAATTGTTAATAGTTTTTGTTTTCGTATATTTCTTATAGTTTTTTTTTGGACATATTGTAGCTAGAAAATTACGCAAAAACTGAAGAAGCTAAAGTTGAGGAGCTCATCAAAGCGGTTGCAGATTCAGGTGCCAAAGTAATTGCCAGTGGAGCAGCAGTTGGAGAGATGGCACTACATTTCTGTGAGCGCTACAAGTACATCAACTTCCGATATGTTCCTTTTGTTCGTTAGTTATATTGCTTTGGAAGTCCCTCTCTCTTTTTCTTTGTTATGCTTCAGTCTTCTTAGTAAAATAATTTGTTTCTCCTATGAAAAACTGCGTACTCTATGAGGTGTAAGTATACATGTGTATTTTTGTACTTGTTGCATAAGTGTAATAACTTACAACTTCTTAGGGAGTCTGTAATATGTTGTCGAGTTTTCAAGATTCTACTTAGAGACTCTTTAAGCAACTTGAGTATTTTATTATTATTATTATTATTTGAAAATACTTGAGTATTTTAATTTTGGGATTCTTGCTTGCAGGCTTATGGTTTTGAAAATTAGTTCAAAATTTGAGCTAAGGCGATTTTGCCGTACAACTGGTGCTGTTGCCCATGTAAGTCAGCTAGCATTTGACAATTCACTAGAAATTTTCGTAAAGTTCTTCCTACTAATTCACTCACTATTTGCTTTACAGTTGAAGCTTAGCCAGCCAAACCCGGATGATCTAGGATATGTTGATTCTATTTCGGTTGAAGAAATAGGTGGTGTTAGGGTATGTTAAACTATAGTGCATTTTGTTTTCTCTTTGATAAGTGAAATATATTGCATTAGTTACAGCATTTTGTTTCTGGAGTAGCCATCTTTTGCTCTCATTTATTTTTTCATTCCCACTTTTCTTAAGAAGTGCCATAATGTAAATTTAGGTGACTGTTGTCAAGAATGAAGAAGGTGGAAACTCTGTAGCTACGGTTGTATTGCGAGGAAGCACGGATAGCATATTAGACGACCTTGAAAGGGCAGTTGATGATGGTGTAAACACTTACAAGGTAATTTGGTCATTGTGCTGTCTTCTTCTTCTTCTTTTCTTCCCTTTTTCTAATGCCAAATTTATGCATCTTTTTTTTTAATAAATTTATGCGTCTTTGGTTGTATGATACTATCTCCATTTGTATAATCTAGACATAGGTTTATTGTAGCATTTGTTGCTTTGGATTTTGTGTTAGGAGCTTTTTACTTAACATCTGTATCTTTCTTGTTGTCAGGCTATGTGCAGGGACAGTCGTATACTTCCTGGTGCTGCTGCTACAGAAATTGAGTTGGCTAAGAGAGTGAAGGAGTTTTCATTTAAAGAAACAGGGTAATTTTTTTTAATCTTTTCTTCTTCTTCTTCCTTTTTTTTTTGGGTGGAAAACGAATATGGTGTGCATCATGTTGGATATTTGGAGCATTTATTCTGTCTTCCCCCTAACAGTATTACCTGTTTTCAAGTTGTTTCTGCAATGTATGTCACACTTTTGCTTCTCCCGAATTATCTTGAATTGGTAATTCTGGTCCTTAGCTCATGGTTTTCTTGTCATATTTTTTTTTGTATTTTTATTTGTATTTTTTATTTTATCTATCTACCGGAAACACTAAGTTGAGATACCTTAGTAATGGATGTTACCAAGGTTTTAAACTGTCCAATTGGGTACTAAGTGGTTTTGCCTTTGTGATGCAAAGCGTAGCGTAAGCCTTACACCTCAAAATAGTTCAAAAAATAATTCAACAATATGAAAAATCAAACATTTTAAAGTGAAAGTTATAAATCATAGTTAACATCATGAAAAATCATATTAGGCATAAGCCTCAAAATAAATCATAAAATAATTCAACAATATGAAAAATCAAACATTTTAAAGTGAAAGTTATAAGTCATAGTTAACATCATGAAAAATCATATTAGAACTCAACAAAAAGTATTAAATCTGAAATAATCATTCTTGATTTTTTTTGTCTCCCTCTTATTTTTTTGCAAACTAGGAGTTCCTTTTAAGTCTCTCTTGCTCTTGGTCAAGAGCAATGTTATTTAGTTAAGAATTCTCTAGGGTTTTTTTTTCTTTTTCTTTTTTCTTTTTAATTGGGCTACTTTAGGCTATTATGGGTTTGGGCTTGAGCCTTTAAATTGAGTTCAGCTCCAAACAGTCAAAGTAATGATAATTCGACAATATGAAAAATCAAACATTTTAAAGTGAAAGTTATAAGTCATAGTTAACATCATGAAAAATCATGTTAGAACTCAACAAAAAGTATAAAATCTGAAATAATTATTCTTGATTTTTTTGTCTCCCTCTTATTTTTTGCAAACTAGGAGTTCCTTTTAAGTCTCTTGCTCTTGGTCAAGAGCAATGTTATTTAGTTAAGAATTCTCTAGGGTTTTTTTTTTCTTTTTCTTTTTTCTATTTTCTTTTTAATTGGGCTACTTTAGGCTGTTATGGGTTTGGGCTTGGGCCTTTAAATTGAGTTCAGCTCCAAACAGTCAAAGTAATGATGCACCACCTAAACTTTTCCGCCGGCTGCCTCAGCGGAGAGGTGTGCGCCACTTTCTTATTCAGTGAGGCATACGCCATAAAGCGTTTTGCGAGCGCCTCATCAGGGCGCGCCTCCCATTGTGCAATTTTAAACACTGGATGTTACAACATTTTGTTGTGACACATTGATGATCCACGCACTTGAAACCATATCAGTAGTTTTCTACATTAATTTAGAGGCGCGCCTTCCATTGCGCAATTTTAAACACTGGATGTTACAAACATTTTGTTGTTACACATTCATGATCCACAGACTTGAAACCATATCAGTAGTTTTCTACATTGGTTTATGAAATGTTCCTTTGCTTAAGAAGCGTTTTAGGATCTGGGACCAATTATTGAAAATTTGAAACCTGCAATTGTCTTTTATTTTCTTCGTACATTATGGTATGGAAATACTGGATAAACTAATGATTGCTGTTGCCTCTGCAGGTTGGATCAATACGCCATTGCAAAATTTGCTGAGAGTTTTGAGATAGTACCTAAAACCCTCGCTGAGAATGCTGGACTCAATGCAATGGAAATCATTTCTTCTTTATATGCTGAACATGCATCTGGAAATGCCAAAGTTGGAATTGACTTGGAGGAAGGTGTTTGCAAGGATGTCTCGACTATGATTATTTGGGATCTTCATGTTACCAAGTAGGCTATAAATCTCTATTTTAAGAGTCGTGTATTAAAGTTTGAATGTGTTGCCTTTAGAGAGTTCAAAGATCTTCGGTGGCTTTTTCTCTTATGGGTTTGAAGGTGGTTGTTTCAATCAAATTGTTTAGTGGTCTTTGATGGAGCATTGTCAGTTGTCCTAATTTCATATTGTGTTTTCTAGTTTATACGCATTAAGTTAAGCTGAAATGCCTAAAACCTGTCAGTGCAAACGCTAGGAATCTTTTAGAATGTGGTCAAGCATTCCTTCACATTAGTTTTGAGTCAATTTAATCGTGTCCTTTATGGTCCCGTGTATGGAAAAAGCAAAAATTATCATTATTGTTATGGGATTTTGGTTCATTCAGTTTCTTCTGGGCTCTCTGTTGCAGGTTCTTTGCTCTCAAGTATGCTGCTGATGCTGCCTGCACTGTATTGCGTGTAGACCAGGTAAATAACTAGTTATAATTCATAGGATCTACCTGCTTTTGAAACATGTTTTGTATGGCGTCTTATCTCTCAGTTACTTGCTGCACTGGTTTAGAATTTTTATTTTGGTAATTTTTAGTTGATGATTCATCTTAAAAAAGAGAAAGGGTGGTTGTGGGCTTAGGTGGTGGTATCCCATATTTAGTATCTTAAAATTTTATTCAGGAACCGAGGTGTTATAAAGTAATGTCATAAACAACTAGATGATAATATTTAGTTTATAAGAAGATATGCATTGAGCTCAACTTAAAGTCTAGAATTGAAAGAAAGTCCTTGCTTATTTATCGAAGAGAGAGAGAGAGAGAGAGAAAAAGGAGAAGAAAATAAGTAATCAGAATGCGACAGTGAGGATCTGATCTATGTGAAGTTAAGCTTGTTTTTCCACAATCAAATTTGTTGTCAGAAAGTTGGAAATGTTTCAAATAGGTAAGCTTTGAATTTATAAATAGGTGCAATTTTCTTACTGCACAATCAAACAAGCCTTTCTCAAAAATTTTCTCTTATCTGAAATCATGAATCTATATGGTGGCAAAAGAGGAAAGAGAAGGGGATACGTTGATTTGTTATCAATTTCAAATGAAAAATTGACACAGATTTCAAGTTATCTACTAAATTTTTTGACATATAAAATTACCAGTGTATTTTCGTTTTTCAATGGGTAAATCTGCATGCAGTCTACAGAAAGTTTCATTTGACCAATTAAAATTTCAGTACGAACAATTTAGTAGATAACTTTGCAATTCCTATTCCCTAGCACCGGCTTCCTAAAATAAGTGGCTTTTTAAATATTCCCTAGCATCGTCTTTTCGGAAAACACTGGCATTGTTGAATATCTAAGTAAAATCACATAAAATCTATTGCTGATATCTGTTTCCTTTCATGAAAGTGTAACGACTGACATTATTTGTCTTTCAGATAATCATGGCGAAACCAGCAGGTGGCCCAAGAAGAGATCAGCCTGCCGGAATGGATGAGGACTAGATATCGTTCAACTGGGATTTACCTAATTTTTCTTTCGTTTTTCCTAGGAAAGTTTGAGCTTTTGTTTTCCGAAATTTTTTCCTTGGAAATTTTGGTTTGTGGTGACCATATATTATCTCAAAACTGTAATGCTTTTGTACATGCCACTAGCTTTCTGCTTGGATTGGTTTGGCTGTAGTTTTTGAAAAATGATTACAGGTTTTGGTTTTCATTTTTAGGAGGATGATTTTAGTATGTGAATGATAATGTTAGTTGTCATATTGTTACTACACGCGTATACGTCGTTCTGCGTTGTCAAGTATCAACTAATTGATGCGCTTGGATTGCATGCTTTTATTCCAATGATAATGATAATGATAATGACAATAAATAATGATGATGATGCCCTTTAGGGTCTTTCGGTACTATCTAAAAAATAAAGTGCACGAGTGTCTTTAGATGTACATAAATAAATAAATAAAGTGCAGGGTTAGTGTTTGGTAACACAAATGAATAGAAAATTAGGGATTTTAAAATCTAAACTATATCTTTAATTTTTTACATAAAAGAACCAAATTCTCTTTTTAAGCACTCATTCATTTTTCACGCGTCAATTTTCTCTTTTTTTTTTTTTATGATTCTTTTTTGTTTTGGCTTTTTACTTTTTGTTATTTTTAGTCAAAACTTCCTCTACATTTTAGTTACTATACGTTTTTCTTTTAAATGCATTTATCCTTGCTTTGTTTCTATTAAAATTATTATTTTAAATGTGTCCTTACTTCAATTCCTTCTCTCTTTTTACTAAAAGCTTGTCCATGGTCCATTATTTTTGTTTCTTCTAACCATTGTTTACATATGGAAGTTTTCATGTGATACTTTCAATTACTATTTGTTGCAAAAATGTCATTCCTCTTAAGTTACCTTATAAATATCTTGTCTCACATGTCCTTTCTATTAATATATATATGTATATATGTATGTATTTAGATATAGCATTCTCCTAATTAATTTTCTATACGATTTTTCTAACATTTCTTTATTAAAATATATGCCTTAGGTGTCCACATACTCATACTTTCTCCCGCATGCACACGTTTGACAAAAATATCTGGTTGAAACATGCATTTTGATCCGTTTATTATTTTATTTATTTATTTATTTATCTTATGTTTTTAAATGAACCTTAATATAACTGTTTTTCCCAAACTTTTATTAAAATACATTTTATCAGACGTGTGATTGCCTAAACCGTGTTTGGTCATGTTTACATTGATAATTTGAACAACTCAAGGTTGTGGTCTCATAGAGATACAAATGTTTTTGAATAAAGTCCAATACCAGTAGTAAAGTGGGATTGTAATATGAGGTGATTACTTACGAGTCCATTTAGTTTACTTATTCGAATTGGTATTCGAATTGATATGTAATTTTATGTGAGAATTTTTTACTGTAACAAAAGAGTTATATGTAATTATTTTTGAGAGATTTTGACTGTAGCAAAAGAGTTATATACGACTGTTTCTGAGAACTTTTTACTGTAGTAAAACTCGAATTCTAAACTCGAATCGATGAAGGCCCCGTTCATTTCGCCGATTCGAGTTTAGAATTCGAGTTTTGCTACAGTAAAAAGCTCTCAGAAACAGTCACATCTAACTTTTTTGCTACAGTAAAAAGCTCTCACACAAAATCACATCTCAACTCGAATTATAAACTCAAATCAACGAAGTAAACGGGCTGAAATAAATAGGCTTAAAATGTCTTTCCCTCAAGCATTGGGACATGTGAAGTGGATGACGTAATAGAGCCGCAAGACATGACCATTGACTCTGATACAGATACAGAAAACCTGTTCATGGCCAGTAGTTTTTTGATCTTTAACCTGCTTCAATTAAAAGTTAAAATCCAAACTTTGTTCTGTTTTATTTAGTTGCTGAAATAATATTATACACATACAGAACATGCATACCCCAAGAACATGTTTTTTCTTTTATTTTTATTTTTATGTTTCTTTTCTTTTTCCCCTTGGAACTACCAAAGAATTCTTTCATTCACTTGTTTTAATCCTAATTCCTAACAGAACATGCATACCTCAAGAATATGTTTTGCTTTTAAAGGCCCGTTTAGTTCGCTGATTCGAATTTTTAATTCGAGTTGAGATGTGATTTTATGTGAGAGCTTTTTACTGTAACAAAAAAGTTAGATATGACTGTTTCTGAGAGTTTTTTACTGTAGCAAAACTCGAATCGGTGAAATAAACGTGTTTCTTTTCTTTTTGCCCTTGGAATTGTCAAAAGTTCTTCAACTTGTTTGTTTTTGGCCTGTTTGGCTTTCGTAATGAATTCCATTTCACCAATATATATAGATATTATATGTATGTATCATCTACCTGACCCAATTTTGGTTGCAAAGCGATCTCATAATTTTCAGAAACTTTTGTGTGTTTTGCTGTGTCGTTTTGTTGTTTATGCCTTCAGGTTTTTTTTTTCCCTATTTATATATATGTTAGAAACTGCTTGGTTGCACAGAATTCGGTTAATACAATTGAATTAATCACGTAAAGGGTACTTTTGGTTGCTTTTTTGTCAACTTTGCTGGGAAAGTAATTTAAGAGTAGTATTGATCGTGTTTAGAATTAATTTCATTTTTATTTTTCACGTTTTTTTGATAAAAAAAAAATAAAAACGTTTTTAAAATAATGTTTGACGTAATAAAGATAAAAAATGAAAATGAAAACGATATTTTAATTTAATATAAAATGAAAGAAAATGAAAAATAACTTTTAGTCGTTTTTCATTTTTTGTTTTCGTTTTCTCCTCTCTCGAACAGAGAGAAAGAGAACGAGACATTAATAGGTTTTTTATACTGAAAATAATATCTTGACAAAACTATCAAACGCATTTTCAAAAATAATTTATATCTGAGATTGAAAACGTTTTCATTTTCATACAAAAAATAAAATCATTTTAGAACAAATTTCAAATGCACCCATTATTTTTTTTATTAGTTCTCAACCCTTACTTTAACAGTATTTCATTGCCTAATCCAAAAGCAAAAGCAGAGTTATTGCCTCCTCTTTTGTTTATTCCAAGTTGATGTGACAGAAAAGCATACAAAAGAAATTTGTCCTAGAAATCTTTCAGTTTTATAGCTAATTTTAGAATTATTTTTATTTATTTATTTATTTTACATACGACACTTCTGTCTTTTATATTTAGATTTTTGATGTCTAATAATTAAATATAGATGTGAACCTAGATTACATCAAACTGGTTTGTTGAAGCATATATTGTTGGTTTCTATTGATCAACTTTATATAACTATTGGTAGAACTAATTAATTTCTATATTAGATCTCACGCTGCATGATTTATTGATGGAACTTTTTTTTTTAAAGAAAGATATCTATGTACATGCATATGATTTTATTTTATTACAAACTTTGTCCTTGTTATGTGGTTAAGAATGGAGTCAGATTGGATGTTCCCGGATAGAACTTCTCCACGATATGTATCCGTTTGTTTTGCGGATTTGAGTTTTCAATTCGAGTTCAAATATGATATTTTTTTTTAAGTTTTTAACTATAACAGATTAAATTAGATATGACATTTTCTAAAAATTTTTAACTATAAAAACCTAAAATTGAAAATTCAAATCGGTAAAATTAACGGCGTTCAAAAATTCTCTCAGTTTGGTATGGATAATGCAACTAATCCTGATATGATGAGGTGTCCATGTTTAGAACGTGGCAATGTGAAAAAAATGGGCTGTAGTAAGATAAGAGAGCATTTGTATTTTAATGGAATTAATCAATGTGAAAAAAATGGGGAAGACCCTATAAGAGAAAAGTCTATTCGGAAGAGATGTCGAAGAGAGATAGAAATGGATAATGACGAAGTTGATGAAGGTAAATATATGGTGGAAGACGCCCATGAACGTTTTGTTGACAACCCAGAAAAGTTTGAAGAGTTACTTGGGGATGCAGAGGCCCCGTTCACTTCGCTGATTCGAATTTAAAATTTGAGTTGAGATATGACTTTATGTGAGAGCTTTTTACTGTAGTAAAAAAGTTAGATGTGATTGTTTGTGAGAGCTTTTTACTGTAACTTTATGTGAGAGCTTTTTACTGTAGTAAAAAAGTTAGATGTGATTGTTTGTGAGAGCTTTTTACTGTAAAAAAACTCAAATTCTAAATTCGAATCAGCAAAGTGAACGGGGCTAGAGAAACCTCCCTACACTGGTTGCCGAAAGTACACAAAATTATCATCCTTAGTTAGGTTGTATAATTTGAAAGCGGAGGATGGGTGGAGTCTTAAGACGAAAGACGTTTGATTCACAGATTTAAAATCATTCTCGGTTTACGTGTATTTTTTATAAGAGAAAATACTGTAGCGAGCCACAAACCATGATCTGAATCATGACACGGATCCTTGCTCCAAACGCACATGCATGTTTAGTATAGGGATTCGTGCCATAGTTTGAATTATAGTTAGTGGCTCGCTACAGTATTTTTTTCACAAAAAAAAATACACGTAAATCGAGAATGGTTCTGAAGTATGTTTCTGAATCCTAATTTGCTAGGAGATATGTTGCATGAAGGTAATGAGATGCCTTTATCCTTGTACGAGGCAAATAAGACTTTGTGTTCATAAACCCGCAAAACTCGCAGACCCAACTCACCCCACCTTAACCCAATCCGAAAAATACAATTTCTAGTATTAAATTTTATCTTTTAGCCCATTCAATGTATGGCCCGAAGTTTTGGGGCGGGGTGTGGGTTGGGCCTATAATGGCCCGCACACCCCAACCCAACTCGCGCTCTAATTTGTCTCCTCTAATATCTAACCATAGGCAGGTAACTCATTTCTACTATCTAATTTTTTCATGTTTGAATTAAGTCTCTATGTTTGCTTTATGTTAAGACAATTTATGAGTGTAGACTAATTTATGTTTGATGTTGGATGAACTATTTTGCTTCATGTTTGATGTTAGATTGAATTTTGAATTTCTATTTATTTGAATGTTAGAGTTATTATTTCTATTTGATGATGAACTTTGAATGTTGGATTGAACTTTGAATCTTTGAAACTTTGAATGTTAAAATCGACCACCCAATCCATCCCGCACCGCCCCAACCCAAACATCATTGGGTTGTGAAATTTTTCTAACATCGTTGAGGCTAAATATGTGCAACCCGCACCCTTTGGGACGGAGGAAGAAAAAGTCTTACCCCGCACCAACCCAACCCATAAACAATTGGGTATGGACAGATTAGCAATATTATTAAATTTCTTGAAAATTTTAAGTTTAACCACTATTTTTTTTAATTCTATTATTTATCTCACTACATAAAATTTTAATACTACTATAGAAAATAACCTGCAGATTATGATATATAAATTATGAAAAATAATATGTAGATTATTAATGACATAAGATAAATTTAATAAAATAATATAAATAAAAAAATAATATTACTTTATTGATAGTATTTTCAAAAGTTCTCGTAAATTTAGGGCTCGTTTAGTTCGCTGATTCGAGTTTTTAATTTGAGTTAATATGTGATTTTATGTGAGAACTTTTTACTGTAGTAAAAAAGTTAAATGTGACTGTTTTTAAAAGTTTTTTACTATAATAAAACTTAAATTTTAAACTTAAATTGGTGAAATGAACGGATGCTTAAGATATCTATACCCGTTTACTAAAAGAAGAAAAAGTTTTTTAGGTGGGTGGACGAAAAGTTTCGTTCGTTTCTCCCCCCCACAATTAATCCTAGAAAACGTTTTTTTTTAAAAAGGTATTCGGTGTGTTGCTTCTCTGTAAAATCGCCACATGTCTAATCGTGATTGCATAATTAAAAAATTGGGATCCAGGTGGTTTGTTACAATTCGTTTTCTAAAAGGTGACCACGTGGCAGAATATTATTTGAGGAAAAAACTGGGCACATGTAAACAGCCCATGGAATCTAACGCAGCCCATTAGTGGCTAATGCCACGTTTCGCCTTTTCATTGGCCAAACGGAAAACATGGCGGGGCCGCCTGCAGCAAAGCTGCCACGATTGTCTCCTTTCCTCATGTTAGACGCATCTCTCTCCGCGCATGTTCCTCACGTGCTAATCTCAGCTGCTGATGGTTTTGATCCAACGGTCAAAAAATGTCCCGATTTTATTTTTTAATTTTTATTGCTTATTATATTTATTTATTTATTTTAGAGTGATTTGTACTTTGTAGTTCCATTTTGTCTGTTTTAACGCTATTTTGTACTAAATTTTTAATACCTTTAAGATGAAAATGTTATAAATAATTGGGTAAAACTATAATTAAATAAAATACACTAAAATAAAATAAAATCACACCTTATGAAATAAAAAAATTAAACAAAATAAGATAAAATTAGTTTAAAACGCAAAAAGTAAATAGACACATATCAACATAGCATTCATTAAAAAAAAGAGGTAAATATAAATAAAGTGTTCATAAAATGAGAGTAAAAAGAAATGGAAAACATATTGTTTATAAAAAACAAATATAAAAAAATAAAATAAAATTAATTTAAAACACAACAAAATAAATTAAAATTATTTTGTACTTTTAAAAAAAGCAACATTTTTTGTAATTATTTCAAAATTAAAGTATTGGTTTGTAAAAAAATGGCAACATTTTATGTAATTATTTCAAAATTAAAATATTGGTTTGTAACTTTAAGACATACGAAGGTATCCTATAATCTTATCTTTTTTTTTTCTTTTTTTGGAAAGGAAGGGAAATTATTTTGTATTTTTTAAGACAAACTGTATCCTATAAAGGAAGATATAACCTGTTAAGTTCGTTAATTTAAAATTTTAATTTAAGTTGAGATATAATATTATGTGAAAATTTTTTATTATAATAAAAAATTAAATATAATTATTTTTAAAATTTTTTTATTATAATAAAACTTAAATTTTAAATTCAATCAACCAAAAAAAACGAGGTCAGTATTATTCTCAGTTCTCACTTGGTACTATTTTTCCATTTTAATTTCTCTTCCTTGCCCTTTCTTGACTATTTTTTCTCCCAAATTCTCTTCACCTTTCCTGAGAGCGATTAGGGTTTTGCATTTTGGTCTGGTGGGTCTGTTCTTAAGAAGAAACTGAAACAAAAATGGGAGCGAGTAGAAAGCTACAGGGTGAGATTGACAGAGTTTTGAAGAAGGTTCAAGAGGGAGTCGATGTCTTCGACAGCATCTGGAACAAGGTTTCTTTCTTTCTTCCTCTTTCTTCATTTTCATTTCCATCACCTGTTTGGTTCCTCGGAAAATCAATTTTCACTTCTTTCTTTTTCTTTTGGTTTTTAGGTCTACGATACAGAGAATGCGAATCAGAAGGAGAAGTTCGAGTCCGACTTGAAGAAGGAGATCAAGAAGCTCCAGCGATACCGCGACCAGATCAAGACTTGGATTCAATCCAGCGAAATCAAGGACAAGAAGGTTCTCTTTCTCTCTCTACTTTGAGTTCTAAATTTCATTTCTCTTGGACTCTTTAGCGAGTTTGAGTTGATGTTGTTCCATTTCCGTTTTAATCTTTGTATATATATGTGTGTGTAGCTTCAAATACAGAACTAACTTATTTGGACAAAAACTGATTGGAGGTTGTAGTTATTTATACAGAGGGAAATGAGGCAAGTTTTATTGGAAAATTGCATATAATGCTTTCAAAATGAAAGTGGTTTCTCGATTAGGTTGTAAACTTCAAGCCGAGAAACATCTTATGACCTATAGTTTGGAATTTTATAACATTTTTTTTTTTAAATTGAGGAATTTCACTTGAAAACTGCGTTTTTGACATTTTTCTGTGTTTTTTTTGTTTTTATTATTATTATTTTTTTCATTTCAATCGAGCTTGCAATAAGAGACTATTTTACTTAGTATTTTTCTTTATATTGTATTTATTTGGTTATGCTCTTAGGCTGACTATGATAAATAATGTTAATAATTGATTCATTTAAAACTGTGGATTTTTAGTTGAATAATTGTGAAGATGTTGATTAATTGTTTTTTCCCTTTTCTTTTGATATTTGTTGACGTAGGTTAGTGCCTCTTATGAGCAGGCCCTGGTCGATGCTCGCAAGCTTATTGAGCGTGAGATGGAAAGGTTTAAAATATGTGAAAAGGAGACTAAAACAAAGGCATTTTCTAAAGAAGGTTTGGGCCAACAACCAAAAACTGTAAGCGTTATTACCCTGCTACTACTCTGAACTAAGTCGTTTCATCTTCTATTTTGTATTTAAGATCCTGTATCTGTATGTATATTTCTGTTCACTTTTCCTACCAAACAACCATAGGTTCTAAAATCCTTCAGCTAATCTCTCCACCCCTTCCTTGCTTCCACTTTTCCCTACTACCAAAACAAGCTCTTAAAGTGTGAGAATGGCTGTTGCTTGCCTGTGTGTGCAAAAACTTATGCTCCGACACTATTTACACAGCTCCTTTTTATGATGCCTCTGCTTACTATGTTGATATTTTGTTACAGGATCCAAAAGAGAAGGCTAAATCAGAGACAAGGGATTGGTTGAACAATGTGGTATGAAACAAAGCTTTTTATTTTTATTTAATTGTGCTATCGCCCATTTTAGTTGAAATCGTGATGATTCATAGGTGGTATCATTTTAGTTTTACATCCATTTGCACTGGTATATTTTTTATACGATTTTAACTATCGGAGTTAGTTGTTTGGTGTTTTATTTCCTCATTGAGTAGGTTGGGGAGTTGGAATCTCAGATTGACAACTTTGAAGCTGAGCTCGAGGGGTTATCCGTTAAGAAAGGAAAGACAAGACCGCCTAGACTGGTTAGACAAAAACCTATAGAAAGTATTAAAAACTTCTGCTTGTGACCAATGTCATTATAATTTAACATTTTATTTATTTCTTTATGCATTTTTTTCCCTTTTTCTCGGGGTTATTGCAGACTCATTTAGAGACATCGATTACTCGACATAAGGCTCATATAATGAAGTTAGAATTGATTTTGAGGCTATTGGATAATGATGAATTGAGTCCTGAGCAGGTCAATGATGTTAAAGACTTCTTGGATGACTATGTCGAACGTAACCAGGTTTGTTGGTGATTTTTAAATTCGGCCCAACTTCTCAATGGTTCTCGTAGGAAATGTGTTATGCGGTGGTTTATACCTCTAGTCCCTTGTCTATTTCTTTTTGGGTGTGACATATTTCTTAGCTGGAGATTTAAGATCATTTTCTTATATATATTAGAATTCTAATAGTTTCTTAAAATTTCTTTGTAGGAGGATTTTGATGAGTTTAGTGACGTTGATGAGCTTTACAGTTCATTACCATTGGACAAGGTAGAGGCTCTTGAAGATCTTGTTACAATTGGACCTCCTGGTCTTGTCAAGGTAAATACCTTCCTGCTCTTTGGGGGTTTTTTTTTTTTTTTTTTTTTTTTTTTTTTTTTTTTTAAGGTTTCCTTTTGGAAGTTGAGAATGCATGTAGCAAAGTTGGAAATTATATCTTCTATAGCCAACTTGGTTTGTTTTTATTTGGATACAATCTGCAGAGTTACTTGCATAAATTGCCAAGTTTATAGTTTTTTTAATTGTTATTTTTTTATGGAAAAGTTATTTAATGCTCTGTGGGGGTGGTATCTAGGCATGTTGGGGCGACAAGCTTGTACTAAGCAGATATGGACCGTTGTTATTCATGCATTCTATTTAAAAGATATTGATAAGACTAACTTCGAAACAGAGAAATTGAATTGAAAAGACCGAATCTGGATTGTAGAAGATTGGTGAATTTCAGTGCAATCAACAAACCCTAGCAATGGTGGTATTCGAGAGCCACCAGCTTCCCCAGGGTTTCCCCCAATGGTTTTCCCACTAATCAGATCATAATCCCTCGTCAATAGCTAATTCCCCTCTAAAAAACTACTAAGTATTGTTATGAATCAGTTGCACTCTAACAACCTCTACTAATCATACTAACATCCCACTAACCAAACTAATTTCCCAAGCCTATTTTTATTGAGTCCTAATAGATAACGCTTCATTCAACTATTGTTTCTTAGTTTTCTTAATGAGTAACTATTGTTTCTTCGTAAGTTGACCTGAGGTGACGTATAGAGGTGTCAATGGATGGCTCGGCCCAGCCCGTTACAGTGGTCAATTTGGCACGGCCCGGCCTGGCACGCCATAAGGGCCTGGGTTGGGCCTCATGTTTGAGGCCCGCAGCCCAGGCACGGCCCAGGCTTGCGAAGGCCCAGGCCCGTGACATGAAATTTTAATGAGGTTTGAGGCATTTTAGTGCAAACCGATCGACCTATGCCATCCGGTCAACCAGTCATTTTCTTGTAATTATTCATATTATTTCAATAAAATCACATTTTTTTGGGGCATATGAATGCTACTTTTTTTTTGTCATCAAATATGAAATTATAAAAAAAATTGTTAATCCTAAGTGAAACTCAAGCGCATTAAGAAAGTTAGGTTCAAATTGAGTTTTGAGGGGAATCCAATGTAATCCGGTTGTCCGGTAGCAGAGAAGTTATAAGCCACCGGTCGACCGGTGATGCCTCTACCAGTCGACCGGTGATGCCTCTACCAGTCGACCGGTGCCTGTTCAACGACCATAAATTGGACCGTTGAACAGGGCCTTTAGTAGGGCCGGCCCAATAAAGTCCTAAAGGGCCGGCCCTATGAAGGTTCTATAGGACCATTAATAGGGCCGGCCCATAAGGGCATGGGCCCGGCCCGGGCCTAGGCCCTTAAGCTGGGCCTAAGGGTCTCTCCTCAGACCCGGCCCAAGCCTGGCCCTCTATTGTAGAGGGCCGTGCCTGGGCCGGCCTAGGCCCGTGATGGGCCTGGGGTCCGGCACGGCCCTTTTGACACTTCTAGGTGACACATTTGATGAACATAATTTTTAGGCGCATACTTGAGTACCGTATTTATAAGTGCGTTGACATGTGTGTACACTGGTATATTCACAACAAATCCAAACACATAATTTAATTTTAATGTTTTGACAGGGTGCACCAAGTCTTGGCTTGAAGACTTCTTTAGCAGCATCAGCAACTCAAATGCCCGTATGCTTTACACCAGTTGTTGCATTACATGATATTAAGCCTGAATCATGTTATAGTATCTGGTAGAGTGATGAAGCTTTTAATTTATGAGGATATAGTTGGAAGCATCTGAAGGTGTTGCTTTGTGGTTATATTTTCTTGTCATTTGGCCGTACCTTAAGGGACCGTGTAGACTTTTTTTTTTTCCTTCTCTTTCTTGGTCATGGTTTTTCAACTGTATCTGTGACATGATTTATCTCACTTGATACTGACTGTCGTGATTCATTTATTTATGTATTCGTTTATATTTGCCAGGTTGCAGCAACATCAATTCACCAACAGAGTAGTTCTGTCCAAGAACCAGTTGAAGACACAGCTTCCCCGGACAGTATTCCAGAGACTGTTCCTATAACTCCACCTTCTAAAAGTAGTGTACTGGGTTCTTCAACTGCAACTACTCCAGTTGCAAGTAATGCAACTTCTGCACCCGTAAATATTCCATCTCATAATTTCCCTGCGGTACCTACTGCTTCCTCCATCCTGTCAGGTTCAAATTCTGTCCGCGTCACTGAGAGCACCAGAGCCACTAATTCTTTATCTCCTGGAAATCTTTCTCCTTCGGTGAAGGAAGAAGAATTAGGAAGCTTTCCCAGTCGTAGATCATCTCCATCTTTCACAGATGCTGGACTTGTAAGAGGCATTGGTAGAGGCGGAATCTCGAGTCAACTGTCATCTAGTGCCCCCCTTAGTTCCAACAATGTAGTACCTGGCAGTAGTGCCCTTGGCGTTGTCCCATCAACGTCTGACATTGCAAAGAGAAACATTTTGGGAGTCGAAGAGAGAGTTGGCAGTAGCGGCTTGGTGCAGTCACTTCCCTCGCCTCTAAGTAATAGATTGATCTTGCCTCAAGCTGCTAAGAGCAACAATGGAACTGGTTCACTTGATTCTGGTAATGTTAGTGAGGCTACTGCTTTAGCTGGACGAGTGTTATCACCTACTATGGTCTCGGGTATGCCATGGAGACCAGGAAGTGAAGCGGTATGTTACTCTGTATATATATAATTATATTTTATTTTTTGATAAGAAAACACCTTTATCAATAGCAGTTAGATAAGGTATCCTCAAAATACAAGGAAAACAGAACAAAAACAAAATTTAATCAGATTCATAAAATCCTTGAAAACTCTGAATAGTTCCTCTCCGATATTACTCTGAATATTGATATGGTAGTTAAATATTTACTCTGAGAACGGTATGTTACTCTGAATAGTTCCTCTCCAATATTCTGAACCTGAATATTGATATGCCTATGTATTTGACACTTGAAGGTAGAATTGAAATATGTTGTCATGTTCGAAGCTTTGTGATGATTTTGTCCTTGATATTTTAGAATTATACCTATTTTTTGCTCTTTCCATTGTTTTGTTTTAATTATCATTTGGTTGAGTTTTCCTTGGTTTTTCTAATTGCTTACCTTTTCCTTTTACCCTCAAAATTACTTAAGAGGGCACTTGACTATTATGTTGTGACGAAATATAGTAAACTGGTGATGGTCCATAAGTCCAATTTGTTAATACATTATTTCACTATTTCACTGAGAACATTTAAATAAGAAATCCTCCCATGTTGATGACCAATAATAGAGATTCAAGGGTGCTATATACGGTAATAGACTACTTTCAATAAGTTGTATGTGTTTAACTGTGTAAGGTGTTCATAAGTTAAGGGTGATGGTTGCTTCAGATGTTTTTTCTGGTGGTTTGTATGAACATCATCTTTAATCTCTACTTTTGTTTAAAAGAAAAAATAAAATAAATAAATGTGCAGTTTGTTGTGTTTCTGTCAATAACTATTATTATCAGTTTGCGGAAACAGTATGATTTTTTCTTAGGAGTTAAGGATTTGGACAAACAGTATGCTGTTTGATTGATGAAGTTCTCTCATTGTCATGGGCAGTTTCGTGGAAGAACTGAAGTAGAACCTGATCAGAGGGAGAAATTTTTGCAGCGGCTACAACAAGTGCAGCACAATAACCTTCTTGGTCATAAGCAGTTTTCTGCGCAACAGCAAAATCCACTATTGCAACAGGTTCTTTTCTCGTTTCAGGCTTGTTCTATCCATGATCTTTGGGAACATCTTAATTGCACGAAAAGCAACATGCATTTGTGACGTGGATTTAGTGACTTTGATTTGTTGACATCCATATCATTGTTGCAGTTTAATTCTCAAAATGCTTCTGTCTCTCAAGCTGGTCTTGGACTTGGAGTCCAGACTTCAGGTCTGGGTACCGTTTCATCTTCCACCTTGCAACAGCAGACAAGTTCTGTCCATCAACTGTCTACTCATCCAGCATTAGTTTCAAATGGGGCAAAAGAATCTGGTACCTTCATATACCTTTCATGAGTGGTTGTTTATTTTTCCTTTTTGCTTTTGAAGAAAAAAATCCCTGCTGTTTGGATGTTGATCTGTCATTTATTTATTTTTAAATTGCTCTCTTTATCTCTTCTTTATGGGGTCGGGTGGGAGCAGTGTGATTTGGCAAAGGGATTATTTAGTGTATAAAATATCAAAGGGGTATTCGAATCAAATATAAAGGACATGTTTCTCTTTTTTCTTTTTGTTTCATCTGAAGACTATTTTGTGCAGTTGTAAATGGCCTTTTTGTTTTATGTTTTGAACCGTTAATTGTATTTTCCCAAGTCTGTCGGGCATTTGCGTAGCTGAATTTTGCTAAGCTGATAATGTTTGGGGAATGGGGGTTTTCTCATTGATTTTCATTACGTGCTTGAAGCCTTGAACATAATTGTTGATGCACAGAGCATCATAAGAAGTCTGATTTAGATCCTCACAATGTAGTAACAATTGAATATTTGGCCATGTATGCTGCAGAAATTGGTCATGCAAAAGTTGATGAGCAGCAGCAACAAAATTTACCAGATGATTCGGCTGCTGACCATACAACTACTTCTGGGCTCGGAAAGAACCCCATGAGTGAGGATGACTTGAAAGCTCCATATGCAATTGATTCTCCAGTATGTTTATATCATCAGCTCTACTCTCAACTATGGTTAACTATTTTTACTTCTGTTTAGATAATTTTGTTTTGCAATCTACAAGGCTTGCACTATGGATTATATGAATTGAATTATGGCTGAAAACAAAAGGCACAAGGAAAGGATGAACTGGTGAGGGTAGAACCGGAGGTGAATGAGAAAGATTAGGGAAAGGTAGGAAAGAATTGGAGGAAGAATATTTATAAATATTTTTATAATTTGGTAGAAAAGCTCAAGATGCGTAGCAATGATCAACCATAACTGCAAATAGACAATTCTGACACTACCGAAGAGCAGAGGTCAATCTAGAATAAGCACCATAATCAATAACAGATAGAGCATATAACAAGGCCTAGGAAGATGATCAATATTGGTGTTCTTTGTACTTCTTGATTCCTCTAATGAAGTTTTGTTTTTTTTAAAGAAAACCAAAAAAAAAAAAAAAAAAAAAATTGAAATACTATTTTGTACATATTCAGGCTCTTGTATTATTTCTTCTCGCATTTAATTTAGTGAGTGTGGAGTTTAGTGTGGTATAATCTCTTTAACAGGTGTGTTCTAGAGGTTTGATGCTAGTTGCTTTTCACTCTCACTTTATTTATG